CTGGCCTTGCCTCGGCTCTGGGTCCCTCCTCCTCCCTTAGATACAGGGGCCCTAAAGAAGCTCAGGTGTTTCTGACCCTACTAAACAGCCCCATTTTTACCCTAGTTTCATACTACCTTATCTTTCCTCCCCTCTTCAAACTTCTGTGTCCTGTATTCTGTTTGATTTCCTAAACTCACCCCTTCGGCCCACTGCAGTCTGGGGTGGTTGCGCACGAACACCCGCGGTCACACAGTGGACACGGCTCGGTTCTCCCTTTCATGGCTCCAGGTGTGTGCACCCGCCAGCAGACGTGCTTGGAGTTCTTTCCATCCTCCTCTGATTGCACTCTCTCCAGGATCTTCCCTCAGCCCCGTGGGCCCCTTCTCACTGGATCCTCCTCCCAACCACCCCCAACACCATGGTCTTCGCCGGGGCTCTCAGCAGCCCTTTGCTGCTCCCGCTGCTCTCATCCCCCATCTGTATGCTGACAACCACAGATACACTTCCAACCCCACCTTCTCCCTTCGGTGCCAGACCAGCCACCTCGCTGGTGTAGAACATCTCCATTTGAAGGTCCCTCGGGAAACTCAAACTGGAGTCTGACACTGAAATCCTTGTCTTCTCTCTCATTGGTGGTGTCCATCATGGTTGGATGCACCCATATCCACCCAGACCCACGCTTGGCCTCCACACTCCACATTCACTTCTTCCTCAAATCTTTTATGAACTCATCCTACCTCTTGCTGTCACAACCAAGGGCCTCGATTTTTCGAGGTTCATCTTCTGGCTTTGCCTGCACACCTTACTCCCCGCTACCAGGATGACCTAACATGTCAACATCGCCACGCATTCTCCTGATTAAAGTGTTTCAGTGGCTCCCCAGATATTTCTAGAAGATCAAGTGCAAACTCCTTGACGATCTTTACAAACTGGCCCTTGCAAACTCTCCCACCACCTCACCCATGAGACACAGAACCATTTGTTCTTTTGCTGTGTCCTACCAGCATTTCCCTCCCTACCTGTGCAAAAGCTATCCCCTCTGCTTCGAACCTTGCCCCCTCCCTACCTGGTAAATGCCTGTTCATTCAGGAAACTTAAAACCTACGTTTGTACATTGTATAATTTTTATATGATAATAACATGAATTCTTTACCTGCTTCCCTCTCCTACAAGACCATAAATTTCATAATGACAGGGTCCAGTGCTTACTCATCTTTCTATCTGTTCAAACAAATACTTGCTGAATGCTTAAAATATCCAGGCACTGTAGCTGGTGTGTACTGATTTAGAATATGCACAGTTGTCTCCCTGCCTTGTCCACAGCTTCACTTTGTGCAGTCAACCCGGCCTTTTGGAAGCAGATGATCCTCTTTCTGTCATGTCATCACGAGGTCAAGAGTAGCCTAACGCTACGTCGCCATGTTTTCGTCATTCAGCTCACTTCACCTCATCACATAGGCATGGTACCATCTAACGTCATCACAAGAAGGGTGAGTACAGGACAATAAGATATTTTGAGAGAGAGAAAAACCACATTTGCTAGTTTTATTATTGCATATTGTTATAATTGTTCTACTTTATTAGTAATTATTGTTAACCTCTTACCGTGCCTAATTTATAAGTTAAACTGCGTATAGGTACTTACAGGGAAAAAAAATAGTAAATACAGGATTTGGTCCTATCTGGGTTTCACACATCCACTGGGGGTCCTAGAACATGTCCTCTGCAGGTAAGGGGAGGGCCTAGTGTGCAGACTTTGAAGTGAGAAAGGTCTGGGTTCAAATCCTCCTTCATTTGAGCAAATTAATGTCTGTCTTAAATCTCCTTATCTCTGAGAATGGGAACTATAACTGTAGGAATTCCATTATCTGAGATAATTAGAACTGTTAATCAATTAACAGAAAATGTCAGGTGAAGCTGAGAACTGTAGAAAGATTCCTGTGTATCTTACACAGGGTAGTCTCACCCCAACCAACACACTCATTCGCTCATCTCTGGACATAAGCCCAGGTCTTTCCTTTGGGTATGCGTCTGCTGTCCCGAGCCTCCTGTCCCGTCCCTGCATAAACCAAACCTACCATGTCTTGTCTAAAACTTTCAGCTTTGATTGCTTTCACATGAAGTAAGAATTTAGGATTTCTTTCAAATGAAGTGAGAATTTAACAAACATCTGTGAAGCCAACAAAGTATAGAATCTTTCCATATTTTTGTGGTTTGTCCCCCCTCAGTTGTTAATAGTTTTGCCTGGACCTACTGACAACGATTTTTTTTTTTTTTTTAAAGCAATCTGCGGGGGCGCCTGGGTGGTTCAGTCGGTTAGGCTTCTGCCTTCGGCTCAGGTCATGCTCCCAGGGTCCTGGGATGGAGAACCTGCTCAGCAGGGAGCCTGCTTAACCCTCTCCCTCTCCCTCTGCTGCCCCCTCTACTTGTGATCTCTCTCTCTGTCAAATAAATAAAATCTTAAAACAAATAAATAAAGCAATTTGCCTCTGCTGAGTCTTTCCAGAGACTTCATCTTACATTTACCAACACTTGGTTGGGAAGTGGAGCTGGTGTACTCAATTACGAATTTGCAGGTTATGACCTGCTGCATGAGGGAACACAAGCCACCCACACGGGCCAGCAGGTAGCTTCCTCTGCAGCCATGCTCCCCAGGGTCATTCTGATGGAGGGTCAAGTGCACTCACACAAAGGAAGTCAAGTCACAGGATTTATTACTTACACCTCCCAGCAACAGGGGCGGGGAGAGGGGGCAACGAGCTGGGGTAAGGGTAGCCCTCCACACTAGGTCACGAGGGAGCAGGAGACAGACAGCAGGGTAGCAAGCACCTATTACTTTGAAGGAGCTTGGGGTGGAGGTCACTAACTTCTCTAGGGCTTGACCCTAAGTGGTTATTTTAAAAGGTACCCAGGGAAAAGCAAAGCAGGAACTTATGGCAGGACTCCTCAACTTCGGTCCCTGGCTGAGCGTCCAAATTCTGGGCGGGAGTAGCGTTGTCACCTGTAAAATGCCTAAGCATCTGCTCACAACACCTCTTTGGCACTCACATTTCACTGGTGTACAGACTATGGAACGAATTCAGACAATCACAGGAACAGCGCTGGCGGCGACTGCCCAGGACAGAGAGGACTCAGGCGAATACCAGCTCCGCGGGTGGAGCTCAGGTGTGCCCGGGCAGCCGACAAGCCTCAGGTGGCGAGCGCATTAATCATGTCATTCTATATTGTTTTCTGAGGCTTTGCTATCCAGGGCCTCATTGATCCCGGGGGCTGCCCCTCCCGGAGCTAGCCAGTTCCTAGAGAGAGGAACTGATTCACCGTGAGCCCGCCTTCCACGTACAAAGCCACGGATCCAGAGCCCGCATCCCCGCTACCTTCTCCCCCGGTGCTCCCACTTAGGACCACTATCCCCTGCCCTGCTCACCCCAGGACCAGGTCCCAGAAAACTAGGGACAACCCCTGCACCCCAGAGCCCACTGAAATGATCCAAACGAATCATCCCTAAGCCTGCGGATCCTGACTCGCCTGTTCTTCCCGTGAAAACCACAATAAAGGCTATTGCCCATGCTTCTCCCTCCCTCTGCCTCCCATTGGCCCCTCGCCTTCCCCCTGTGGCCTCCCAGACTGTGACATGATGTGCCCCCTCCTCTTGGGATCTGTGAGAACACACTATCTTTTCAGTGGCAGTCATCTCTTGTTCTGCTATCCCTGTATTACCTAGTAACAAAACCTGTATTTTAAAAAACAGGGTGCCACACGCACTGGGCTGTGGGTCCGAGATTAGTAGCTTCTCTCTGGAAGATCCAGCTACAGGGAGAGCAGTTAAGAGAGCTTCTGCTGGAGCCACCCTGGGATGACTTGAGGCACTGCACCCGGTCCATGGCATGGTGTAATAATCCCGGTGTTAGCTCTTGCCGTAATTAGGCCCTGGGGTGGGGATGGGGGCACGGCAGGCAACGGTCCCTGCCCTCACACCACTTTGAGGCTCCCAGAGCATTTGTCAGGGGACCCTTGCCTAGCCTAGAGGGGCAGAAAAGGCTTCCTGGGCCCTGAAGAAGTACGAGCTAGACAGGCAGGAAGAGCTTTCTAAGCAAGCAAACAGTATGTGCCATGGCCTGCAGACGCCTAATTAAGTGGCAAGTTCCCTGTGCTGATCAGCCCAATGCCGAGGCTCACAGTAGGTGTGTAAGCAAATTTTCGATTTGTTTTTAATTTAAACCGAGGCAGGAACAGTTCCAGTCATCAGAAGGGGACCGCGAAAACCCAGCTCTGTGTCCCATTCTGACGTGGGCAGCATCCTCCCTGTTCACCGAGAAGCACGCAGTGATGGGCCATTTCCCACAGCAGAGCACTAATTGTGCATTGACAGACTGCGTGTACCTTCTACGTGTCCGGAACTCTCAATCTCTTGGCCAGGTTAGGAACTAGGACACAGCCCCAGCCCCTGGAGACCTCACGATGAGAGATGCTCCCTGCCCAGGACACCCACAGGGCCCACAGGGGAGGTGGGGCGGGAGGCCAGCAGGGAGTCGGGGTTCTCAGTGTCCTCTCCAGTCCGGGCTCCGGAAGCTGGCGGCCTGGGAAGGAGCACCGTTTTTACATCTCAGGGGCTGGCACCTTCTGGACCGGTTTGGCTCCGGACTGGGTCATGAGTCAGAAGCGCCGTTGTGCTCACCACGATACGATCACAGAACCCTGTGTTTGTTTTGTCATCTACAGACAGGAACAACATCTAACTTCCCCCTTTCATGACGAGAGACCCAAAAGGTCATGAGAATTCACCAAAGAACCAGGGGACCTTGCTAGGCAACAGGACCCTGACCCTCAGCTTCCCGCCTGGCGGGGATCCAGTACGGATCCTGTTAAATCCACTTCTTTTCTCTTGAGGGAAGACCTCTAGTGCTATCACAGCGTTCAGAGAGCCTGGAAGGTGCTGGAGATGCCCCTGGAAATTCAGCCACAGTCCCTCACACAGAGATGAAAGGGCAAGGAGACCAAGATCAAGTTCCTCACACAACTTTAATTTAAATTAAACTTCCTTTAATGAAATAAAAAACAAACGGTGCATTGCATAATATTTGTGGTCACAGTATAAAACAATACAATTAGTTCGTATAACATCGGATATGGACAAAAATACACAAGACCCTTTCTTTGTCTACGTAAAATCCGGCAGATCCTTATGTGCCACACGCTAAGACAGACAGAAAGTCACCTTTTCTTCTCCTAGTGATCTGCACACATTATTTATCACTGAGAATTTGCTCATATAACAGAGGAGAACTTACCCAAATCCTAGTTCCCTTCTTCCTCTGTTGTCATCGGTGAAGCTAAAAAAAAAAAGTTTTCTGAAAGTAGCAAGTTGTGTAGTATTGCTTATTATTCCTGCCAAAAAGGCTCAGTCTTTGGCTCACAGAAGTCAGTGACAAAATCATGGCTGCAGGCAGTCTGCAAAACAAGAAGCAAGAGCCGCCAGGGAAGACAGACAAGGGTCTGGGCAGGAGGGGCGTCCTTTGCCAGGATCTTGGGGGAAAGCCACATGGGTAGGGAGGGGAAAAAACACACAAATAAATAAATGTCTAAATTAAGATTTAAATCCAGTTGGTGAGTCAGAGTTCCACCGTCCCATGAAAAAATCTGAAAAGTTGTTAAAAAGTCAGAGTTTGCATTTTTTTTTCTTTTTTTTTTTTTACAAGTGAAAAGTGTATGTAAACATTATAAAGTAAACAATTTAAAGTAATTTCGAGGCTTCTATCTGAACATAGCTCAGGCTCTTTCTGGGGATATTTTTGTGATTAGAAAAAAACCCAAACTTTTGATAAAGTTTCTTTTTGTTAAGAAGTGCAATTTCATCTAGGTTCTTCTTCCATTCATATGAGTGCTTCCGGCAGGAACCCCTTCCAGAAGAGCACTGTGTGGGGAGCCCTATTTGGTACAGCTAAAGAGTGTATCTCACACTTTTAAAGGGACACACATTCCAGGCCAGTTTCTCTCTGGAAGGAATGTGGTCCCTGGGACAAGACCCTGGGATTTCCTCCTCCTCTGGACCAGCCCCTCTAGGCGACTTGCAGTAGGGCCCAACGATCAGAGGGTGGGGTTGGGGTCAATGCCTGAACACCCCCAGCCTTGAGCGACAACGGAGTTCGAAAGGAGAAGGTACGGCGTGAGCACATGTTACTTCTCCTGCCGAGTGTTTGCTGTGACCCCTCCCTGGTCTCACATCGACCTGGGGCCACCCGGTCACATGTACAGCTAAGTATCCTTTCCTCTACCAAGAAGGGCCTGCACTACAACAATCCTGAATCTTTTAGGAGTGATGAGTGTGTAGGCTTGAAGGGCACCGATTCACTAATAGCACCTGTGAATATGTGGTCTCTCTTTAATTCCCCATCTACAATCACCTGTGACCCACCTCCTCTGAAATCGCAGAGTCCAGAAACGATGGGTAGGAAAGACCCGAATCTAGAGCTATCAAGGCCTCCAGCTCTTCCTCCGGTCGCCCGTGCTCCGGTGGGGCAGACGCTGGGCCGGGAACTCATCTGTGCTTCTACCATTAGCATGGTGTCTACCACGAGGGGTCCCCTGGGTGGGTAGAACAAAAAGGGGAAGCTGGGTGGCAATCTGTACCCCCTGCCCCCCGGGGAGCAGAAGGGGAGACTCGGTGACAAGGGCAGAACGGATTGTCGGCAGCCCAGTCAGGGAAGGGGAGGGGACAATGGTGAGCTGAGGGGCAGTGTGGCTCGTCCGGCCCATTGTGACAAAGAGCCGCACATGAATGGCCATCATTTTGTATGACTTTATTGCTCAAAACAAACGAATCTTTTTTCCCTTCGGAAGACAGAGCAGTGTTAGATTCGTCAGAGCCAGGATAAAAGCACAGAGGATTGCAATGCAGGGCATGAGTCACCAGTGAGCCTCAGAAAACCCCACTGGGATGCTTCCGAAAGGCCAGTGCTGTGCAGGGGCAGACACCTCAGGGAGCAGAGGATCTCTTTTGGTCCGTGTCCTACTCCGGGGACAAGCAATCGGGCAAAATGGATTGCTCTCAGATCTACTTTGTAGGCTGTTCACACGGCAGTAAATTGCTGGTTTCCTCCGTGTGCCTAACAGGAAAGCAAACATATCACAAAGCATACCCTTTCTCGCTAACCCCCTGCAGGGGATCTTACAAAGACTTGAAGGACTGAAAAGGTCATGGAAAATGCATGGTTTTCTTCCAGGCAATTTCTGATTCTGTGAAGTCAGGCAGTCTTGCAAGCAGCAACACACCTTCACGGGAAGGAGCCCAAGCAGCCCGTGAAGGACGCGGGGCACCCGTGGGTGCCACTGGCAGTCCCTTGGTGGCCAAGGCCTTTGCCACCCACAAAGGGCGGGGGGGGGGGGCGGCGGTGGCCCCCTCCTCCGCACACAGCCCCGGCACGAGCCGCGGGCATCTAACTCCCAGGACCCTCTTCCACTCTTCCTGGGGCCCCCCGAGGCACGGTGGCCTCGGAACCACTGCAGTGAATGCCTCCTCCTCCCCTTGTCCCCATCGTCCTCTTCCTTGAGGACCTTCGTACTGCTCTGGACAGAGGTGGCTGTGTATTTCTCTTCGTAGTCATATTCATTCTTAAGGCTAAGGTGGCAAGATAAGGTGCTTGGTGGAGAGCCAAATTCTAGATTCCAGGGCCATGTCAGCACGCTCACATAAAAGCAAATACAAAAGAAATGGAAAGGGGGCAGAGAAGCATTAAAAAAAAAAAAAAAAAAAAGGAAAAAAAGAAAAGCATTTGGGCTCAGTAAGAAGTTACATACTGCAAGTTTAGATTTCAAATGTCGTCTAAACCCCTGAAAATCCGGGGTGGGTAGGGTGGTAAAAGCCACCTGTTAGCCTTCGGCACAGGTCGGGGCAGGGCAGAGGGCTGCCCCCCACGCAGAAGCTGGCCCCGGCGGGCAGCTCTGTCCTCCCCCCACCCCCCGAGACCAAGAACTCTGAAAGCCATCGTCCTTCCTCCCCGCAACCCCTCGAAACCAAACATATGAACACACGTAGGTCAGAGATCTATAAACCGGCAGGAGAAAAAAAAATTAGACGAAGGGGTAACCATTAAAAAGCCGCAGCTGGGAACACACACACGCGACTGTTCTACCAGAAAGTGCCGTGGGAAGGAGAGCCGTGTGCTGGTAAACGTGTCCGCGCTCAGGACTGGACATGCAGAGAAGAGAGCGCGCCAGGTCCCACCTGAGATGAGAGAGGACTGGTTTTTAGTGTCACACACTGCACGTGAAAAGCTCGCTGTCCTCTTCCCGCCCAAATCACTCCTGCACCGCCCCGGTGGCCGCTCCCCGGCGGGGCCCTAGTCCATCTCCATGGACATGAGCCGGCGGCGCTCGCGCCTTGTCTCCTGGACCTCCTTCTTGCAGCACCAGTGCGAGCTGCAGTAGCCGATGAGGCAGGACAGGAGCCCGATGACGGTGGACAGGCCCACGCCGATCAGCAGCGGGTACTTGAAGGCGTTCAGCACTGGGAGGAAGGGAACGAAGGGATGCCGGGTTAGTGGTGCAGGAGGCGGCCACGGGAAGCCCACCGCCTGGCCTGGCCTCCCCTCCCCTCCCCAGGAGAGGTAACCCCCTCCCACCCCCGCCCCAGAGGGCTTGAGCTGTATCCAGCATCTAGCACAGTGCTCTCGAGACACGAGCACTCTTCTCTGCGCACAAAGTGAGCAGATCACACCCCTCTCAGTTCTGTGGGGGAGAAACAAAAAAAAAACAGGAAAAAGAATTCATCTGATGTCTTTGAATGTCAACTTGCTTTTTAGGGTTTTGGCAGGAGATGGATTTTTAAAAGTCAGGATAAGGGCACTGCGCATTCAGCAGCAGATGCATCCTTAAAAAAACGGTTCATAAATCAATTCTATGCATCAAATAACTGAAGTGTACTCGGGGAGCTATTTTAAGTAACACTATAGTAAATTACCTAGCAAAGTGAATAATCGCTCCCTTGTTCGGGAAATCTGGGTTTTCATATGGAGCTACTTCAAGCAAGGAATTTCTAAGATGCAAATAGGGTGTAAATGATGAAGTTTCAGGAATGCACAAACACCGTACAGATCGCACAATTCAAATCCCAAGTCCCTTCGCCCAGAAGCACCAGCACTCCTTGGGCGGATGCTGGCATGCGGGCTGCTGCCTGCCATTTCACGTGGCTCACCTTTCAGAGCAGCCTGACGAAAGACGGGTACCCCATTGTAGGAGAGAGGAAACCAAGGACCACAAAGGCTAAGTCATCTGTGGCGAAGCTGGGGTTCCAATTCCAGTCTCCCCCAAACTGACATCGCATCAGGGAAACATACTCCAAGGCCCCTCCTAACCCTCGGAGGTCCTGGGGCTTTAATGCTCTCCATGGAATTTCCCCGTTAACATTTAGTCTGAAGCTTTTTGCAGAGAAGATGGGTTTCTCACTAGCCAAGGACCAAGTGCCCCCACTCTGGGATGCTCGGGGAGGAGAGGGGTGGGAAGGGGGCCTTCTGACCACCTAGTTAGAATGACTCTGGCGGCAGTGTGGGCTAATGAAGCAGGGAGCCCCCTTCCCATCTCAGGGTTCCAGAGAGAACCCCCTCTATGCTAACAAAACCAGGTAGAGCCTCCCTTTTCCAAGAAGCAAAACCAGGAGCAGGGCAGGAGTGGCGGGAACTCACTCACTGCCTCCGCTGGGGACCTGAACCCACTCTCTCGATGATGTTCTCTGCCTCTGCCCGGCAGAGTCCATGCCAACCCTATGACAAGGAAAGTGGGTTTGCACGGAATTTACAGAAAGCAGCAGAAATCTCTCCGGGAAGTCTTAAAAATCGTTTCCCAGTGGTGCCTCCGGCGCACGGTACCACACCCGGGGTAACAGCTGCGGGCCCGGGCCAGGTGTGGAGAGAGCACAGTCTCAAACAGTGGCCACCTAAGCCCGTCAGCTGCAGCGCAGCACAGAGACTTCACCACGTGTCGGTCTTACCATCCATCTTCACAGTTACAAAGATGGGCTTGGAGTAGATCTCGGCCTCCTTCTGCCAGGAACCTGTCGGGGACTTGACCCACGGAGTCACGGAGCAGTAGTAGTTGCCAAAGTCCTGGTCCTCAGAGCCGTGGACTTGCAGCAAGAATTCCAGCACGCTCACGCGCTCCAGGCTGAGCTCGCTCTTCTGGTCCCTCTCGGCCGTGGTCACAATCCCCTTCCGGTCCAGGGAAGACAGGAGGACGGGAGCCTTGTCCAGACCGAAGGAGTGCACCGCAAACCAGGACACGTCAAAGGCCATGTCGTCTGCGGGTGACAGACCAAGCCGAAACCCTGGGTCAGTGCAATGGGCAGAAATCGCACGTGTGGCTAACACGCACGTCACGTCACTGGGGGCCAGCGCGGCTCGTCATGTCTTAGGCCAGCCCCACGATGGAGGTACTGTCACACTCCCCGCCTCTGTGGCGGGGCCTGATACCTCGTTCCAGGTCACAGAGCCGGGAGCAGCACAGCACATGGCTTCACCCACGGAGTGCAGCTCCAGAGTCCTCCCTCTTAACCATGCCGCTACCACCACCCAACCTAAGGAGCACCCAACACTGTCTCCCACAGGGAACACAGGACGTAAAGCTGCTAGGTGGCGACGCTGCATGCTCTGTTTGCCAAAGCAGGGTCCTCTGACATGTCAGGCAGAAGAGCCCAAGACTGGGAAGACACTAATGTAGTCAAGAACAAAAGGTACATAAAGTGAACTGTACACAACTTAGAGTGGTAAACAGTTTAGGGCTTTTTTGTTTTTTTGGGTTTTTTTTAGATTTTATTTATTTACTTGTCAGAGAGAGAGAGCAAAAGCAGGGGGAGTGGCAGGCAGAGGGAGAGGGAGAAGCAGGCTCCCCAGAGCAGGGAGCCAGATGCGGAGCTCAATCCCAGAACCTTGGGATCATGACCTGAGCCGAAGGCAGACGCTTAAAGGACGGAGCCACGTGGGGCGTCCCAACAGTTTAGGTTTTATTGTTCACTGTGTTTTTTCCCTTGCAGATGTGCTTAAGTTCAAGACAAGAGGAAAAAACACGTTCAGCTGAGAAAGTGGAACACAGCTCAACAGTCCCAGAGAGGATGCTGCTGAATCTCGAAGCACTTTGCAAAGTTAAGGTTCTAACAGCCTCAAACAAATGAACGTGGGCATAGGAGAAGGAAGACTCTGGCACGTTGAAGATGGAGCACACATCATAAGCCCCTGACCTCGTCTTCTGGCCCATTCCCTACTGACACCAGCCGTGTCAGGCCCAGGGTGCATTCAGCAGGCCAGGAAGGACTGCAAGGCCACACGCACCTTTTATCTTAAATTCACCTGGTAAGGCTTTCTATATAAATGTTAAACGACACCATTTTTGTTACACAAAAAATAACATTTATTCACTTCGTGAAAATACACCAATAACCTCAGAAAGCACTATCTTAAGTGCTGTAATATGATTACACAAATCATATTCAGGTGCTTACGTACTGGAAAGGAAGAGAAGCAAAACGAAAAGCAAGACTTTCTACAAAATTATCCAAATGATGATTCCTTTCCAGCTCACTCTGAACATGTTAAGGGCCAGGGCAAACCTCAATCCCATCTACAGGATGACTGCTCTCCACTCCAACGCTCAAAGTACCTTCTTTTCCACCCCATCGGCCCACTGTGGCACTTGGGCAGAAAATCTGATTGTTGCCAGTGTTAGGGGTCATCCCGTCCCGAGAAGACCACCTCCCTGGGGGCAGGGGGAGTCAACGCCCTCACGCCCTCACACCGTGCTGCCGTCACCTGCAGGGGCTGAAGGCAAGAAGTCACGGCTGTGTCCCCGTTACTTGGGTGCAGATGCCAGCCCCAGTCCCGCCATGCCTCGTGGAGCTCCAGGCTACCACGCCAGACTCCCAGCACCATACTTGCTAGCCATGTGGCCTGGACGAGTGACTTAACTCTCTGTGACTTAGGTTCCTCAGCTGTAGAAGGAACATTACAACTTCGCCCATGGTTAAGTCAGTCATCTCTGCAAAATGCTTACAAGTGCACCTGCCTGGTACATAGTAAGCACTCACTGCCTGCCCGCCGTGAACATCCTTATCTCTACACTGCAACATACACAGTCTACGAACAGATGCTGCCAACAGGGAGGGCCTTACCGCCAGCAGCAGAGGCCCCTGGTGCCCCTAACATTCTCACACCCATACCCTCTTCCAGAGGACTGGCTTCAGCTGATGGAAGCCACCTCCTGGAGGTCAAGAAACACCCTTACTCCCCAAGCATTCGGCCTGTGGACAGTGACTGAGGAATGGCGGAGAGCTAAAAGCCTAGCGCCTTAGCTCACAGAGGCCGTACCCTGTGGTACCACCCATGCTCCAGAGCTCCCTGGGGGGGTGGGGGGGGAACTGACTTGTTCTGAATTCACATCTTTGCCTGGCTTCTTTCCCTGCTCTGTCTTGACTCCCTTGCTCCCTGGGAGCACATCCTCAATCACTTGCACGCTCGTCTCAGGCTTTGCTTCTAGAGAACCTGACCTAAGACACTGCCTCTCAAGGGCAGTGATCTGCCCTGTCCCTCCCCCTCTCCGCACCGGAGCACCTTGGTGCTAGGCCCACTTACGCGGTACGTCCTTTCCAAAAGAAAATTCCTTCACAGCCCGTCGGGTGCGTGAGGAAAAACTCAATTACAGCGTGTGCTTAATTATTCAGAATCTTCTATCCACACAGTCCAAGAGTGCAAAGTTCTGGAAAACTGTGATCTGCATGATAACAGCCACCTATAGCTTCTGTAATTACCCTGGAGGAAAAGACTTTTATATTAAGGGCACAACTGGCGACCCATTAATTTACTGAGAAAGAACATCTAAATGATTTATTTTGGTATATATCATCCATGGGCTTCGAGGGTAAACATGGTACCGACTTCTGAACAGGATTCCCTCCCCCGTGTCCTGGCAGCCCCTTCAACTTTCACTTTCGTTTTCACTTCTGAATCCCACTCTCTGTCCCCAATCCTCTGCACCTCAGCTTCCTCAAGACCTGGGCTCCCTACCCTGTGCCCCTGAGAACACAGCTCACCAACCGGTGGCTTGGATGGATTCCTTTTCCTCTTCTTCTACCTTCTTTTTCCTACCTCTGCAGCTCAGCCATGTTCAGGCTCTCTGAGAGAGCCAATTTGGTATCCATCAGCTCGTCCAGGGCTCGGTAGCCTAATCCAGCCCACCACCTGTGTTTTGTCAATAAAGCTTCACTGGAACACAGTCAAGCCCATTTGCTTACATGCTGTCTACGGCTACTTTCACACCAAGTGCAACAGGGCCGAGCAGTTGCTGCGGAGACCATCTGGCCCACGAGGCCAAAAAGACTTCCTACCGGAGTAACTGCCGACCCGGAGCTGGTGACCACCTGCACCTTTGACCGGCGGTCCCGAAGGAGCTAGATCTCAGCTGGTGGCCACCCAGGCCACTGCTCCTCGAGGCCAGCTCTGCCCAGTGCCCTGCTCATGCTGTCCACTCTGGTTCACTGCGGGCCATCCTCCCTTTGCTTACAACCTGCCCTTACTACAGAATGAAAACCCGCTTCCAGTTTCCACCCCAGGGCCACACACCCAGTGGTCTCTGCACAGAACGTTGAGAGCCTTGTACACTTTGGCCTTTTCAAGGCGCTGATCGGTGAGAGGCCTGGGCTCTGCCTGTGGTGGGGTGGGCGGCACAAAGATGCTCAAGGACAAAGCGTGTGGGAGAGAGCACAGCTCTCTGTTCCTCCAGGGTAATTACAGAAGCTAGAGGTGACTGTTACCATGCAGTGAAGCAGGCTCTCCGCAGTCTCTTTGGGAGATGGCAGTGGAGGGTACCGTCCTGCTCAGCAGCAGACACCTTATGTGCCTTTAATGTTCTTTCAAACCCCGGGGGTCTACGAGTGAGGCAGGGACACCAACTGGTCACTGAAGAAAAGGTGTTAAGATTGACGTCCTAAAGCTCTTAGGCCCGTTGGCAAATGCTAATAATTTTTGCAAAGAAAAGATTTACAAAGATTTCCCAAGAATTTAAACTACAATAACACCACCTGGTCCTTGCTACTCATTTACTCTGCTCTGTCCTTCACCATAGAGTTAACACCATCTGATATTATATTACATGAGGATTGCTTTGTTGTCTGTCTCCTTAACCAGGTTGCAAGCTCCATGATGTGGAGCCTTTGGTCCCTCCTCTATTCCCAGTACCTGTTACTAGAAGAAGTTCAATAAATATCTGAATGAATCAATGCAGTGAAAGATAAAGTAAAGGAGCTAGACTCTACTGGTAGGTTTCAAAGCAGCTTGAGCTTGAATCAGCCCTGGAAGAGGCCCACTGACCGCCTTGACAACTCAGATTCCAGCGTCTGGATGGGTTTCCAAATCATCTAACAGACAGATGCGTCCATCAACAAGGATTTATCAAACACCTACTGAGTACCAAGTACAGAGTGAGGCATTTTGGGGATTTAGACAGTCCAATCCCTGACGCCACGTCTGTGTCACACAGTGGGGATGACACGAGGGGGCATTTACAGAAAGTGACAAGGGCAAGGAGAGAGGACAGAGAGAAATACCTGGGTCCAGTGCTGCTCCTTCAACAGTGATGATGCAAAACAATCTGATCAGATCTCCCCGGGTGACCGATGGTGTATCCGAATGCACGGAGGCGTTAAATAGAGGCCCTGGGGAAGAGTGACAGCACCTCGTTATTCCCACTCACGCTTTTGTTTCAATTCCACTCCCGACGCTCTCATGGGCATCTACGTGCGGCCCACCTTCCTTGGAAGTGGGCGAGGTGGTGTTCTCAGGCTGCTTTCCTTTCTCTTCAGAGAGACACGTGCAGCAGGCACAGCCAAACGAGCATCATCTGAATTACAACCACAACAGAACTCTTCCTACAGAATGACCTTTGCTTTTGGCTTTTCCTTTACCCCTTCTCTGATGACAACCACGGTCCCCTTGGAAGGCCACCCCCACCTGCTACCCGGGTGCCACTTCTGGTTCTGCGTGGTTCCCTTCCAGGCCAAGGTGGCAGGAGAGCAGAGGGCACAGGACTGAATCGGTGACACTTCTGGCCCCGATGGAGTGGGCGGCCTCACTGTGCTGGGGACAGGGGCTCTGCCATTAGGAGGCTGAAATGTAGTCAGCAGACAGACATGTCAACTATGACGACACTCTGTAGGGGACAGTGGGAGCACCAGAGGTATGGCTCCAATCTGTCAGGAGAAATTGAGGCAGCACGGGCATCGCTTCAGAACACTACCCAGACCCGCACCCCTTCCTGAGAACACCCCCTTGATATTCAGTTTGCTTTAAAAAAGACTCTTTCCTTCTTCCAGAGGCCAAAAGACGTGTCTACCCAAAATGAACTGTGCAAGGCAGAGATGCTCCCACTTTTTGAGTTGTGAGCATAAAAATGAGCAACAAACTATGAGGTATAAAGACTGAACACGTAGAATTTAGTGTTAGAATAATATTTATCATAGAGTCAACTGGGTGCATTTGACTGTAGGTAGAATTATTATTATGCTTTGATGACTAGGCATAAATAAGGGACTTATTAAATTAAAAAAAAAGTATGCCTTGCATGGAAGGAATCTGGCTCCTAGTCGCTTCTTAGAGAGAGGGGCCACGTACTACATTCTTTTTTTTTCTGTTTAAACCCTTTACTCCTCAGTTTCAGGTGACAGCATTGCACAGCTTTAAGTCAACCTGATCCTAAGAGCCCGATATTTACCTTATCCTAATAAGAACAGGCAAGCCTGAAGAAGGTTCCTGAATACCAGTGCCATGGGATTTCCCCTGGGTTTCCTGGGAAGCAAAGAGATGGCCCTGGACACTGATTCTGAAACTCATTACAAGCTAAGAATACAAGTGCTACTACATTTTAAATCAGATCACCAAATAGGAAAAAGTACTTTAACATACAAAAAAAAATGACTGAGAAAGTGTGTAAAGGTCACGCAAACCAATGAGGCAAGTCACGAGAACCGATAAGGCAAAGAGCTAAAAAGGCTGTATCTTCACTTCACCATGAGTGAGAAGATGAACTCATCAGACTGCTTTCCTCAAACCGAGAACCGGAGCAGCCGGTGTTCTGTTGGGAGAAAGGTGAAGGGCGGGTGGAGGAGATGGCAACCCAGGGAGGTGGGGCAGCCCTGAGCAGGTTGCGGTGAGAGTTCAGATTGACCAGAGCAGCAGGAGGGCATCAACTCTGGGTGCAGGGGAGAACGTAACAGAATGGTGGTCACGGGGCATCGGGAAAGGGAGGAAAGCAGAGAAGATGAGGAAACCTGACCTACTGCGGGTAGCCTGCCCTTCAATCAACCTCTCTCCCAGCCACAGTTCCCACAGGTCCCGACCACCCTGGATTTGCTCTGCTTATTGGAGCGAGGCAGGACAGGATTGAGCCAGTGGCTCTGACCTGACCCTGTGTTCATGACCGCGGAGCACTTCATACCATATATGGCCCCCTGGGAGTACAGGTTAGTAGCAACCCAGGTGAGCAGTGAAGACCACGGTGTTTTCTCTGACTAGAAATTTCATGGTAATAAACAGAGCTACACCAAGGGGTTTTCTTCAAGTGTCCGAAGCCCCTTCTAAGAAACCACAAAATGATAAAACATAAAGACCTCATAATGGATTTAGGTTCCTAAATTTGAAACCACACAGCAAGACTTACCAATCTGGACACATTTCACTTTCTTTTCTTTATATTTCCAAAGAAAACCCCAAATGCCTTCTAGGTCACAAGTTATGGTTCTCATTTCCCCTAGTGGCTATGGCTGTGGGAACAACAGAGCATTTGTGCTATGGCTCACCATGCGGACATGGGCCAGGGAGAAGGCCTTCATTGTAAAATATTCACAGCAGTGGATTTCCTTCGAATGAACAACTCACTGTTAATGTGGGTCATTATCCCAGGCTTGGAAATACTTTTATTATGGTCAATTTCTGTGATAATGCTGTTTTCGCGAGGGAATTTGTCTGGTTAACTTCATGGATGACAGACTACGGCACGGAGAATTTAAGTGAACCAGAGTCACTAGATGTCCCCTGATTCCTAATCTGCGGAGAGTACATGGACCACACTCAGCTCTTAAATACAAACATTGACAGAACCATGTTCTAACTCCAGCCCCTAAAAAGGGCTGTAAATAGCAGTATTCTTGTGAAAGCCAAAACTGCAGACCATCTGCGTGTCCATCGATAGGGTAAAATGACTAAATTCTGGGAAGTGTAGTCATTAAAGTTGTTATTTACCTAGAATTTGTTTTAACGTGAAAACTGCTTATCTTAAAAGGTTAAAGGGGGGAAGCAGATTACAAAACTGCACATACAGCCTGATCTCACAGCCATGAAGAAAACATGCAAGGGAAGATTTCTAGGAAGACAAACAACACAAATTAACAGTGTCAGGTAGGTTATGGCTAATTCTTTTCCTTCTTTCTACTTTACCGTATTTTCAAGTTTTTTCTATTAAAGGCCAACATCTTGAACACCACAACATTTAATCCGTATTTTCCCCCTGACACTTTGGGTCAGTGAAATTCATGACTCAGCAGCAACCCTTGGGAAACATGGTCCTCATACCAAGAGGCAAGCACCCCAGAACCTGGGGATAGAAAGGTGGACACCAAGAAGGACCTCTTTGTTATGTGTATCTTACGGTGTTGCTGTTGATTTTTAGGAAGTGAAGACTCTTCAGTATCTAGTCAGTATTTGCTGGGAGCCATTCAGGGCGAGGGCACTGTGCTGGGCAGATCAGATGGCAACTTCTCCTAATTAAACCATGAACTGGCCATGACAACTCCGTGGACTAAATAAAATAAAAATCTCAGCCAGTTCATTCAACCTGGAAGCTACAGTCATTTTACCTGTTATGCAGAGATGTAAAGAATTGAGAAAGAGATTCAATACCCATTCCTCATCCAGAAATACAAAAGATTTTATGTCTCCCCTATTTCCCATAACAATTCTAGAGAAACATCAAATAACAAATGTAAAACAAGATGGAATAAACCCCTACAGAGAATAAAACAGATACACAAAAGACAAAAACCACATAATCATCTGACTCTCAATAGACACAGATAAAGCATTTGACAACATCCAACATCTCTTCATGGCAAAAACACTCAACAAACCAGTAACGAAGGGAAACTTCCCCAACTCAATAAAGGGCATCTATTAAAACAACAAAACAAAACAAAACAAAACAAAACAACAAAACCCCACAGTTACAATGATTTTTAATGGTACAAGACTGAAAACTTTCCCTGTAAGATCAGGAACAAGACAAGGATGTCCACTTGTGCCACTACTATCCTACATTGTATTAGAGGTGCTAGCCAGGGCAATTAGGCAAGAAAAATAATTAGAAGGTGTTCAGTTTGGAAAGGAAAAGGTAAAATTGCCTTTATTCACAGAGGCCATTTTATTGTATTTAAAACACCCTAAGGAATCAACCAAAAAACAATTAAAACTAATAATAAGTCCAGCAAGGTTGCAGAATCCAACATCAATATATAAAAATCAGCTGTGTTTCTATATACTTGCAATGAATAAAGGGAAAAGGAAATTGAGAACAATTTCATTTACAATGGCATCAAAAAATAAAATACTTAGAAATTGAATGAAAGAAGTTCAAGATTTGTACACTGACACTACAAAACACCACTGACAGAAATTAAAGAAGACCCAAATAAACAGAAAGATGTTCCATGCTGATGGATTGGAAGGCAATACTGTTAAACGCAATACTCTCCAAACTGATCTACAGATTCAACACAATTCCTAGATGTCATCTTTGCATAAATTAATGGGTGATCCTAAAATTCATACAGAAATGCAAGAGATCTAGAATAGCCAAAACAATCTTGAAAAAGAACAAAGATGGAAGGCTCATACTTCTTGATTTCAAAATTTACTACAAAGCTACGGTAATCAAACAATGTGGTCCTGGTATAGGAAAAGACATACAGAGCAATGCAACAGAACTGGGAGTCTATAAAAATCCTTACATTCATGGATAAATGATTCTTGACAAGTGTGCCAAGACAAGTCAAGGTGGAAGGAAGAGGCTGTTCAACAAATGGTGTAGGAACACCTGGGTGGTTCACATGCAAAAGAATAAAGCTGAATATCATCCTCTGCTACACACAAAAATCAGGGCGCCTGGGTGGCTCAGTCAGTTAAGCGTCTGCCTTCAGCTCAGGTCATGATCTCAGGGTCCTGGGACCAAGCCCTGTTTCAGGCTCCCTGCTCAGCAGGGAGTCTGCCTCTCCATCTCCCTCTGCCCTTCCCTACCCTACTTCCCACCCCCCCACATCCCCACCTGGCTCATGTGCTCTCTCTCTGTCTCAAATAAATAAATAAATAAAATCTTTTGAAAAATTAACTAGAACGGGTCATAGTACTAAATGTAAGAGCTGAAACTGTAAAACTCCTTAGAAGAAAACAGAGGCATAAATCTTCACAACCTGGGATCAGGCAATGGTTTCTTAGTTAAGACACCAAAAACATAAGCAACAAAAAGAAAAATAAATTGGACTTCATCAAAATTACAAGCCTGGGTGCTTCAAGGGACACCATGAGCAAAGTGAAAAAACTACCCACAGAGTGGGAGAAGATATATTTTTTTAAGATTTTATTTATTTATTTGATAGAGAGAGAGAGACAGTGATAGAGATAGCGAGAGAGAGCACAAACCGGGAGGAGAGGGAAAAGCAGGCTCCCCAGTGAACAGGGAGCCCGACGTGGGGCTCGATCCCAGTACCCTGGGATCACGACCTGAGGGGAAGCCAGATGCTCAACCTACTGAGCCACCCAGGCACCCATGGGAGAAGATATTTTTAAACCATGTATCTGTTAAGAGGCTTTTTCCAAGACTCTATGAAAAACTTGTCTAATCAACAATGAAAAGGTAAATAACTCAATTTAAAAATGGGCAAACAATCTGAGTAGACATTTCTCCACAGAAGATACACATACAACCAATAACCACATGAAAAGATGCTTAACATCAACAGTCATTAAGAAAATGCAAATTAAAGCTACAATAAAATACAGCTTCACACCCACCAGGCTGCCTATGATAAAAAAGACGGAGGATAACAGGGTTAGTGAGGATGTGGCGCACTTAGAACCCTCACACATCGCTGGTGGGAATATAAAACGGTGCAGCTGCTTTGGAACACAGTTTGGCAGTTCCTCAGAGTTAAACAGAGCTCACACGACCCAGCATCACTCCTAGGTGAGAAATGAACTCTGATGTTCATCCCCAAAACTTGTACACTAATGTTTATGTCAGCATTATTCACAGTAGCCACAAGGGTGGAAATAACCTAATGTCCGTTAACAGATGAATGGATAAACAAAATGTGGTCCATCCACATGATGGAATATTGTTCAGCCATAAAAAACCACGAAGTACTGACTCACGTTATAACGTGGATGGACCTGGAAAACGTTACGTCAAATGAAAGAAGCCAGTCACAAAAGTCCACACATATGATTCAATTTACGTGAAACGTCCAGAAGAGACAAATCGATACCAATAGAAAGATTAGTGGTAGTCAGGGGCTGGGGGTGGGGAGTGAGCACTCACGGGTACAGAGTTTCCTTCTGGAGTGGTTAAAAACTCCGGAATAAGATTGTGGCATTAACTGCACAGCTCCATGAACATACTAAAAACCGCTCAATTGTACACTTCACATGGGTGAATTTTACATGTTAACCATAATTCAATGAAGCTGTTATTAAAAAACAAACAAGCAAATATACACAATAAAAGAAGCCTGCACTTTCTCTGCTCTTTCCAATCTAAGGGTTTAAATCAATATTTTCTCTTTATTAATCTAAATGTTAACAAATTGAAGAAACTAGAAAATAATTTCATTATACACTATTGAAGTTTACTTATTTATTTTTTTTAAGATTTTATTTATTTATTTGACAGAGAGAGACACAGCGAGAGAGGGAACACAAGCAGGGGGAGTGGGAGGGCCCCCGATGCGGGGCTCGATCCCAGGATTGGAATCATGACCTGAGCCGAAGGCAGACGTCCAACGACTGAGCCATCCAGGCGTCCCAACTGAAGTTTATATTAATACAAAAGAATATTAATAAAAAACTTCAATGAAAAATAAACTTTAAGGTCTAGTTTACCTTTACTCTAAAAGGTAATCATGTAATTCAACAAATATCTTGTATTCATTATGCTGATTCAATTAATACCTGAATTTTTACAGGTGATTATAAATTTATACATTCAGAAATTTCTAACTGGAATCCATGGCAGATTTAGTGAAAACATTCAATATTAAACTCATAAATGATGATCCTTCATCTTGATATCCTAAATAAAATTGGGGGATCAAAAACTTTTAAATATCTACCTGCTGAAATATACACGCATACACACACACACACACACACACACACACATACAAATTATTTCAGAGGAGTTTAATGAATTACATGGATGAATAAGAAATATTTCTATTTGAGAATATGTATCCATGCCATTAAAAAAAGTTGACCTTTCCGTCTTATAGCATAAAAACATTTTACTTAACCAAAAACAAAATCAATTCAGAATAGACACAAAAATGCTCTTGTTTTAATTAACCTTGCCATACATGACCACCACCAGTAACTATTCTTAACGAGCTGGTTGACACATATTCATCCATACCAGCATAGCTCTGGCAACTCGACTAATTGATGGGAAATCTTTCTCCAGTCCCAAAACAAGGTGAGGCACAAGGCTGGGATACTCATCCCCTGTGTGGAAATACTGCTCTATAAGACGGGACAAAAATAGTGCCCATGACCGTCAGTCCTAGGGACCCCTGATGAACTTGTCTCTGAGCCTTGCACGTGTGGCAAGTCATGTAACCCCTCTGGAGGTCCAGTGCCCTCTTCTTTTTATTTATACTCCACTGTGTTCTCTAAAGGAGTTAAAATAGCTGAGTTTTGGTTCACCTATTAAAAAAAGGAAATGAGGAGGGCGCCTGGGTGGCTTAGTCGGTTAAATGTCTGCCTTCAGCTCAGGTCACGGTCCCAGGGTCCTGGGATCGAGCCCCACGTCAGGCTCTCTACTCAGCAGAGAGCCTGCTTCTCCCTCTCCCTCTGCTTGCCGCTCTGCCTACTTGTGCACTCTCTCTCTCTGTCAAATAAATAAATCTTAAAAAAAAAAAAAGGAAATGAGGATAGTACGTGCACACAAAAATTTGTACACAAATGTTCACAGGATCATTCCTAATAGTCCAAGAACTGTAAACACCCAAATGGCCATTAGCCAATAAATGGATTAATAAAACGTAGTGTCTCCACACCGTGGAGTATTATTCGGTCATAAAAATGAATGAAGTACTGATACATGCTATGACACGGATGATCCTCAAAAACACTGTATAACAATGAAGAGGAAAGAAAGAAAGACGGACAGAAAGAAAGTAAAAGAAAATGCTATGTTACAGTGAAAGAAAACAGACGTGAGGACCATGCATTATATTCCATTAATGTAATGTGAAATGTCCAGGATAGGCAAGCTGACAGAGACAGGGAGTAGATGAGTGGTTGCTGGAGGGCTGGGAATTGAAGGGTGTCAGCTAAGGGAGACAGGATTTCTTCGAGGTATAATGAAAATGTTCCACAAATCAAATGTGGTGATGGGTGTACAACTCTGTGAATATACTGGAAGCCACTGAATGATACCCTTTAAATGGGTAAAACTATATGGCATGTGAATTACATCTCAATAAAGAAAGCTGTTTAAGAGAAATTAAGCCACTGGCTCAAAATCCTAGGGTTGCGTTCTAGTTCAGTCTGTGGTTCAACAGGGTTCCTGGCTCACCTGCAGTTTGGAAGTCAATCTCAATAGGATTGGAGAGACTGGTGGCTGCTTCTCGCCACAGGCTGCCCCTGACAGGAGACCAGGCTGTCACCATGCAACGGTACAGCCCCGCATCCGAGACCTGAGTCTGGTACATCCGGTAGCGAAATTCATCTTCCTGCACTTTCTCCAATACAACGCCATCCACCCGCGACGCATCTGTCCAATTCTCCAGCTTCACCACAGAATCCTGGTCCAGGGAGATGATGTACTTGGTTTCATTGGGACTGGAAAGGTCCCCCACAGGCTTCTCAGCAGTGATGAGAACAGAGTAGCGTGGTGACTTAATATTCTTGGAAGACACTTTGCAAGTCATTTCAAATGTATTTCCTGCAGCAAAGAAAGGCTTCGGCTGCCTTGCCTTCACCACGAGCACAGAATCTGGAATGAAGTACCAGAAAGAGGTGATTTCCAACAGGACTAGTGAAAATGGATATGCATCTGAAAGCACAATGACAAGGAAATTGGAATTTATTTGCAAATTGCTGCACAATAGCACTTAAGAAAATCTGGAAACTCAGAAAGAAAATCACGTGTTATCTGTAAGCAGGCTACGAACCACCATGCTGGATGAAGCAGAACAGTCTGAAATGATTTAATGGGTGTGAGGGAATCCAGGAGACTACTGGTACCCTCAAGGACGTGAGGCAGGGCTCACTCTTCGTGAATAGGAGGAGATGAGCCTGAACACAACACCCAGGTCAGGCCCTAGACCATGCCAGGGGCATCCTCTCCCTGAGGTTCTGCTGGGAAAAGTGCAGGGAAAGTCTGCTTGGAAAATCAGAGCAAGGGAGAAATGGGTTCTTTCTGTTTAATCATATCATGGTCACAGTACAGAACAGATTATTAGTCAGGTGACCGGAACACACACCTGTCCATCTAGTGATTTCCACAGAGATGCCATTTTAACATTTTGGGCAAGTGTCCATGGCTACACTAACTTTACATTTAAGTATGTTACTCCCTGCTTCTCTGTGAAAAAAGAAATCCCTAAGCATATGCACATTAGAAGCCATCTACATTATAATTGCTCAATGTCAGGCACTTGGAAGGTACTTAAATATTTGTTGACTGGATGAATAAATGAATTAAACACATGCTTTTTATCCTTTAATAAGATTATTAATTCTATAATCTGTCTAGTTATAAAATAAGATTTTCATGTTGGGTTTTGTGGGCTGTTCCACCAAACCTATTAAGCAGAACAAGTGTGTTATAGTGTCTCTCCAGTATCACAGATTCCTGAGGTTCCGTTGAGCCACCCACATTCTTTCCTGATTCTCCCGTGAGTTTGGTAATCCACCCATTCATTAAACAAGTACTTAGTGAGAGCCTCCCGTATTCCAGGCACTGGGAACGCCACAGTAAACAAAGCATACAGAAGTCCCTCCCTCTACATGCTAGTGGAAGAAGATGAACAAAATAAATGAGTAAAATATATGGTACAGTTAGATGGTGACAAATGTTTGAGAGAATAAAGGAGGGAAAGAGGAGAAAAACAGTGTGTGTGTGGGGGGGGGGGCAGGGAGAGACAACACAATTTTAGACAGAGTGGCCAGGGATGGCATCCCTGACGAGGCATCAAGGAGCTGAGAAGGTGAGGGAACAAGCCCCGTATCCATGTGGCATTCTAGGCAGAGGGAAGAGCAAGCAGAAAGCCAAAAGGCAGAGGTATGCCTGGCGTGTTGGAGGCACCATGCGAAAGGCAGAGGGGATGAAGAGGAGTGAGCACTGGGGAGAGTTATAGGTGAGGTCAGAAGGTAATGGGAGCCGGATGCCATAGGGCATGCAAGGCTACCAAAAGGACTCTGGGATTTGCTTTGAGTGAGATGGGAAGTCTTTGAAGGTTAGGGCAGAGGAGTTTCATGATCTGACTGACATTTTAACAAGGCTGCTCCAGCTGCCACTGCATGGGTGGGAGCAAAGAGAACAGTCAGGAAGGCAGTGATAAAATCCAGGCAGGAGATGGTGGTGGCTTGCTAACAGGGGAGCGTGGCTGCAGCAAGACTCTGAGTCCATCTGAAGAATGAGGAACTGAGGATGAAGGTTTTGGACTGAACAACTACAACGAAGGTGCTAGAGAAGGCCAAAAGATGACCAGAAGCACCATTTTGAACAGGAGTTTGAGATGCCCGTTAGACAAGTGGACGTGTCAACAAGGCAACAGAGTGTTGAATCTGGCATTCTGGGAAGAAGTCTGGGGTAGAAATATACATTCGGGAGTTAATGGTGTGTAAGCAGCTTTCAATTCACGAGGTTAGAAGACATCATCAAGGGAGGGAAGTCAACTAGAGAAGAAGTCCGAGGACTATGTTCTGAGGTAATCTCATGTCTCAGGGTCAGGAAATGAAGAAGATCCAGCAAAGGTGGCAGAGAAGGAGTTGTGGTGAGGTGGGAGGAAAGCCCAGAGGGGGTGGCATCCCACAGCCAAGGGAAAACCAAGGGATTTCTGGGAGGAGGGAATGACCACCTGCGCTAAATCCTGCTAAGTGAAGCAAGACAACAAACAATTGGATTTTGCAGGATGTCAATCACTACTGGTCTTAACACAAGGACCGGGGCAAAAGTCTGATAAGAAGCAGGTGCCACAGAGAACGGGAAGAGAAAGCAGAGACACCCACTGAGTACAGACAAATCAAATGCTTTGGCTATAAAGGGAAAGAAAGAGCAATGGGCGGGGGCAAAGCGGTTTGGAGAAGGGGAAGACAGAGAGAGAAGTGAGTTCAAAATTATTTTATAAAATACTAAAACAGGAACAGGAGGTCTAACAATATTCAGAGGCCAATAGAAAAGGTCCAGAAAAAAGAGGAATATTGATGACATAAGAGAGAGGGGCCTCATGTCTGACCAGTGAGAGGGGCTGGCCTTTGCTAGGACATGGGCTAGGGGCAAGCATGTGGAAATTCTCCTCTGTTTCTGTTTCTTTAGGGAAAGAGAACCCAGGACCAACAGCTGAGAGTAAGGCTGGGAGAGGAGGTTTTCAGACAAAGAAGGTGGTATGCAATAATCATTTTGGAGAGTAGGGAAGTAAACGGATTATGGAAATGCAGAATGATTGCCAGGCAGTGTTGAGAGCCCCGTTGACATAAATGATCACAGATTTAACGTGAAGCCAGTCAACACATTTAAATGTTTTTATCCAACTACAAATGTAGGTAGGGAGGTAGCAGAAGGTTGGCTTTGGACTGGTTTGTGGTTTGGCCAGAGCATAATGCAAAACAAGAGCAGGGCAAGGGAGCTTGGGGTGCAAGGGGGTGTTATGGCTGGCCAGGAATCTAAGTAGGGTAACTGTCCATCTTATCCTCTCTTCCACCCCTGGACATATCTAAGAATGGAAGGAAGATAGATAAGATAGATAGATAGACAGATAGATAGATAGGTAGGTAGGTAGATACATACATACATACATACATACATACAATCTTAAAAAGAAAAAATTCCAATGCCCAAGGCTGCATACACCCTCAGCCAACTAAGATAGGACCTGTGGTGGGACTCAAGCATCAGTGTTTTTTTAAAGCTCCTCAGGTAATCATGAGGTGCAGTCCAAGTGTGGGCCAGCGTTGTATGTGGAAGAGAAGCTACAAATCAGTGACAGTACTTGAGAGCACGGCTGTGAAACAAAAGTTAACCACTTCCCCAAGGGAACGAGGAGGACCCAGGAGTCCAATGAGGGGGGTGACACAAGCTGATGAACAGGCCCCACTGTATGAGGAGCATGGGGAGAAAACACTTCCGCTCAGGAGACCCCAGGGCAAACAGTGGCCTCAGGGGGGAGGAGGAGAGCGAGGTTGGTCATGTTTAACGTGGGAAAGAGCAAGGAACGTTCCAAGCTGAGCCTCAGGCAACAGGAGATTCTGCTGAGCTCCCAGAGGGCCCTGTTTGGGGCTGGGGACGGGGTGGGGGGGGGTGGCGGCAATCAGTCAACTAAGGCGTGTCGAGGGGCGTGTGATACTTCACATCCAGGGCACGAGGGGGACCTAGGAGGCCTGGGCTTCCTGTAATGATGGACTTGACAAGTCCGACGTCCCAAAGCAGACAGTGCTCCGAGCATCGGGAGGAGATGTAGCAAAGAAACTTTCCCTCAAGTTGTCACCCCTCTCCAGAAACGATCTCTCTGAAGGGATGACTGGCACCTCAGAAGCAGGTGCAACAGTCTGGCCCCCACCCCCGTGCCCCCGGTATGTGGCCCTGCATCCAGCGGGAACTCGCAGACGTGAGCACACCCCCAAGGCCCAAGACCACCCTGCAGAGCAACAGCGTCAAGGGCTGTGGGAACCGATGAGCTACCACCCCCAAGCGCCAGCTCTCTCACGGGGACTGAGCCTTCGCCAGCGTCAGCATCTTGAAGGGGTCCATGCTGTTTTTAGAGCAGTAGTCATCTGAGCTCCCATTTTCTTGGATTCCTAGCAGGGAGACCTGGCATATAAAACCACGCAGCGCGACGAGCTGGGCCAAAACAAAAACCCCAAACCTCAGTGAACAAGAATAAAGCGCCTACCTTCGGATGCCCAAAATATGGTGACGGGTTTGGAGAAGACATCCTTGCTCTTCACCCAGCTGTCGTTACGCTGTCTGGTCCACGCAGACACAACACAGTAATAATTGCCTCGGTCTTCCTCTGTAGTCCTTTGGATTCGGAAACTGAACGTGTCCGTGTGCTCTTTAGAAAAAATAAAGTCTCCGTCCTGGGCGCGCTGCTTGCTCCGGTCTCCATACTTGAGCGTCCAGTCCCCGCTCATGACCGCAAGAAGCTCGCTGGCCACCACGTCGTCGCTGCGCCGGTTCACCCTGTAGTACCAGGACACGGTGAAGCGGACGCTGGCCTCCGAGCTCTTCATGTCCACTATCCGGCACTCCAGCTCTGTGAGGTCGTCGGAAAACTCGGGGACCTTCGAAGCATTCAGGTACACCTGGTAGTCTGGTTCTGAACGAGAGAGGAGCGAGGATTAAAAAAAAATCAGACAGCTACATACTAAGAATGAGCCAAAGGAACGAGGCGAGGGCTACTCCTGTCCTGACAATCAAATGCCCAACCCACCAACTACAGTGATGGAAAGGAAAGTCTTCGCCCCGGACAGGAAGGATCCGGAAAGAGTCTGTTATGGCAAAACTCGTACAACCCTGCACCGCTACGGTCCCCGGGACACCTTCCAAGGCCAGAAGCCAAATGTCCGCAATCCAAGTCTGGACCTTTCCATAGGATTGGGAGCTCCCGGCAGTGTCTCTGGGAGGTTAGTCCTCCGAGAAGGATCTAAGACGGCTCGGGGCTCACACTCCACCAAGGTTTTGCGTGGAGTGCCAAGCGGTGCCCACAGACCTCCAAAGCCCCCGCTGGGGCTGCACAGGGAAACCCCATCCCAGAGTACATTCCAGCACTCGAGGCCAATCCCCACGGGGCCTGGGGTCCTGCCATCCCTGGCCAGGCCCCAAACGCAAGGCCCTCGGGTTTCCCCCTGCCGATTCTCGTTCTCAGTTTCCTGGTCCTCTGCCTTTTCCACTCAATCTGTGTTCAGTGATCAATAAGCACCCATCCTCACACTCCCCAGATGACATTCTTTTCACAGCCACATGTAACCCTCCCAACACAATTCTGCCAACCCTGAAGCCGGCTCCTGTGGATCCTGGCTCTAGGAAAGCCTGCTCCCTCAGGGCCACCCCCACCCCCGCCCGGTACAAATTCTGACGGGGGTGGGAGGAAAGCTAGCCCTTTCCTGGGGTCCCCTGCCACTGTCGCAGCCCTCTTCATCTTCACTTGTGTGGAAACCCCTTCTTCCTCTGACATTCACTGTGCCGGTTTCATCCATTTTTGTAACCCCATGTTTCTGTCTTCGCTGACCCCTAGGCCTTCCTCCATGCTTGCCAAGAACTGGTACTGGAACCTCTTTGTCGCCTTCCTCCCTCTGCCCCCACCCCCTCCCCAGGTCATTCCCAATGACCTGAGGATCTCCAGCCCCCACACCATGTCACACCACTGTGCTCACCTACCAGCAGTGGCCTTCGCCTCTTGACCGCCCTGCAAACTTGCACTCCTTCTTCAATGTAACCTCCTCTGGGGTCCCCTCCCAGGTCCCCAGAGCGTGGCCCCCTTTCTCCATGCTCCCACAAGCCATGGAGGGGCACTTGGTCAACAGCAGCCTCTCCCTGTTATTATGCCTTGTTGAAGGTCTCGTCCCCAAGCTCCAAACACACAGCCTTACAAGCTCAGTAGGCACTCAGCCAATGTGTGCTGCCTGGCTTTTAGAGAAGGCTACACTTTTCTCTTGTGGTACGTGGCCTGCTAGGAGCACCCGAACTCTCCCTAAACAGAACTTTCCATCTGCCACCACTATCTTTATTCCTATCACCTCAATCAAACAGTTTAGTTTTATTTAACGTTGCTTTTATTTATGACTCACTCAGATTATAAACTGCTGAGGTCAAGGAACTGTTCTTTTGTGATTTACGCTTCTAATAAAATGTGTAACATCATGACTTCCCGAAGAATGATTCAGTGGCCAGGAAAAGGAAAGAAGTCAAAATCCTGTCCCCTTCAAATGTCATCTTCACGAGCATTTAATTGCAATGAGGGTGGTCCCCATGGCACACACAGTTAAACCAACGGGCCCCGGCCGCCAACAGGAGCACGCCGCGTCATGAGGGGGACACTGTGCAGAGACACCGCGGGCTGCTAGAGTGTCACCCCCCCGAGCTATACAGCTCGGGGGTGTTCTGCCTCCTGGGCGGAGGGCTAGCACCCCACACTGCCTCTGCAGTAACACCGACTGTGGAGGAAATACCACCGAAATGCCTTTAGGCTGTCACGTGCGTAAGACAAGGTGTCCCAAGGGACCCGACATCCCAGGCTTCAGCCCCTTCCCTCCTGGCGGACTCTGCCAGAGCAACGTAGCTGCAGCCAGGACACCCAGGTTCCCTCACGTGGCAAGGACAGCCGCGGACTGGCTGGGCGCCGGGCAAGATGGCGCCCCTCCGTCAGGACTGGCCCGGAACGCCGCACCGTCACGAGCGCTCGGGACACGGCGGCGGCCCGCCTCCCGTGTGGAGCATGACACGGGGACCCTTCACGTGCTCCCATGTTACCCTGAACGACAAACTGAGGCCGTGAAGGGCCGGGGCTCTGCAGCCAGCCTGTTCGGATCCTGGCTCTGCCATCGGCTTGCTGTGTACTTGGGCCCATGCCTTCACCTCTCTGGTGCCTCACTTGTAAAAACAGAGGTAGTAACAGTAACTAGCTCACAACCTGGCTGTGAGGATGAAGAGTTAAAGTATGCAGGGGCGCCCGACTGGCTCAGTCAGCACAGCATGTGCCTCTTAATCTCGGGGTTGTAAGTTCGAGCCCCATGCTGGGTGTAGAGATGACTTAAAAATAAAGTATTTTTATTTTTTTATTTATTTTTTTAAAGATTTTATTTATTTATTTGACAGAGAGAGAGAGACAGAGAGAGAGAGGAAACACAAGCAGGGGGAGTGGGAGAGGGAGAAGCAGGCTCCCCACCGAGCAGAGAGCCCGATATGGGGCTCGATCCCAGGACCCTGGGATCATGACCTGAGCCGAAGGCAGATGCTTAACGACCGAGCCACCCAGGCACCCCAAAAATAAAGTTTTTTTTAAAAAGACTTAAAATATACATGAAAATGCTTAAACTAGTGCCTGGTACGTGTGCAAATGTATATGTACACACACATATTCATAGATATATATACACACAAACGTACGTATTTGTGAACTACTATTCCCCATCCAGAGCTTTGAAGAGTCAGTCACGTGCCTGTATAGCTCAAAAGTGGCAAATCTGAACCCAGGGCCATGTCCCTTCTATCACCTTTCACGGACACCCGCACCTCACAGATGAGCCAAGCTCCCTGTCTTCTAAACTCCATTATTTTCTCACAACCACTGACTGGCTCGTGACCTGCAGCAACACAGAATGCCGTGACTGGCAATGACATGACTATGGTCCTGCCACCAGGGATCTGACCCAGGAAGACCGCTCCCCACAGGCCGTCCCCTCAGCCTGGATGACCAGCACAGTCCAACGGCCAGGAGGCAACCTGTCGTATTTCTCTTCTGTCTCATCAGTCACCAGCTCTTAAAAAGAAACCCTTTGGTCCTTTGGGGTTTACTTCCTTCCCTTGAGCATAGTCCTCTGAAGTGGCACTGTGAAAATAAAGGCTGTCCAAATTAGCACGAAAGATGGTAGAGAAGCGGTGACATCAGTGGTCAGACCATGGGACACATGGAAGAGGTAGGCAAAACTAGCTCCCGCACCAACCACCTGAGCAGCCCTCTCCCTCTCCTCCTACACCCTGGCCTGGCAGCCCCCAGGGCGCCCTCCTTGTTCCAGAACCCAGCTGCTCCCGTGGGTTCTTCCTTAGGCTTAGACCCTAACACGGGCACAGAGCAGGCTTCTAGGCATCTCGGTTTCATGCTTCCATGGCATCACCAGCACAGCACATCTGTACCCTAATTCCCTCACTCTCCACCTGCCTCTGCCAATGCGCACGCGCGTGCACACACACACACACACACGTGCAAGTATACATACACAAGCACATCCATACACTCATACATGCAGGCGTGCACACACAAGCACACACTCATACACAGGCACACTCATTCATGAATGCACACACATGCATACATATACACACTCACATATCCATACACATACGTGTGCAAATATACACACAAGCACACATTCACACACTGGCACTCTCGTTCATGCATGCACACACATATACATATACACACTCGTATATCCATGCACACACGTGTGTGCAAGTATACACATGCACACACATATTCCTACATTGGCACACTCGTTCATGCATGCACACACATATACATATACACACTCATATATCATGCATACACAGTGTGCAAGTGTACATACACAAGCACATGTTCATACATGCATGTGTGCACACACAAGCACACACTCATACACTGGCACTCTTGTTCATGCATGCACACACATACATATAGACACTCGTATATCCATGCACACATGTGTGTGTGCAAGTATACATGCGTGTGCACACATTCATACGCTGGCACACTCGTTCATGCATGCACACACATATACATATACACATTCATATATCCATGCACACAGTGTGCAAG